GAAGAAAACACTGCAATTGAGAATGGGGCGCTCCATAGAAAAACTTAAGTGGAAAAGTGTGTGTGTGTGTGTGTGTGTGTGTGTGTGTGTGTGTGTGTGTTTCTGTCTGTCTCCGTAGTCTCAAGGGTGTGGTGACCTAGCAGTTAAGACGCTGGTTTTGTCAACCAGAAGGTTGACAGTTTGAGACCCAAGCACCGCATGATAGAGTAAGCTCCCATTCTTGCCCTGGCTCCTAACCACCTATCAGTTCAAAAGCATGCAAATGCAAGTAGATAAATAGGTACCACATTGGTGGGAAAGTAACAGCATTCCATGTGCCTCAGCATATAGTCATGCTGGCCACATTACCATGGAAGCGTCTTCGGACAACACTAGCTTCCTTGGCTAGGAAATGCAAATAAGCACCATCTCTAGAGTCAGGCACAATTGAGCAGAGGAAACCTTTACTCTTTACCTCTATAGGTAAAGCCTCATGCCTATAAATGTTTAAGAAACAGGCAGTGAATTCTAATAGCCCATTACTTTATTTTCTTGACCTATATGATACTAATTAAGGGATGACAACCTAATAGTGCAGTTGCTTTATTTGGAATGTTGAGAACATGTTAAGGATGCCTTCAGAATGTTTATTTGCTGTAACAAATATGGATGTGATTAAACTCCAATGTAATTACATAAAACTCTTACATAACTGATGTAGTTGTTCCCTATTCCTCAGTCCAGGGCTACCAGATGCTCTCTTCTATTCTGAATTATCCTTGTATTTTTTTCAATGGTCAAGAAAACGAAATAGTGGGCTGCCAACTACACATATTTTTGTTTTTAAAGAAAGCTTATAGAGATCTAGGAAAGCTCAAATGCAGGGCTCTCCAACCTTGGCAACTTTAAGACTTGTGACTTCAACTCCCAGAGCAAAGCTGGCTAAGGAATTCTGGGAGTTGAAGTCCACAAGTCTTAAAGTTGCCAAAGTTGGAGATCCCTGCTCAAAAGCATTGTGAAAAGTAAGAAGATGACAAAAGCTATGACTCTGCTTTGTTTGCCCAATTTCATTTTTTTTTAAAGGATATCCCTCTTCCTCAACAAAAAAGACAGAGGGAATGGCATGCAGTGCTGGGTAACATTTTTTTTAATAAGACATGCAAAAACTAAATGAAAGTGGAATTATCTAATTCCAAACCTGCTCAGCAGTGTACAAAAATTGAATACTTCTGAGCTATCAATAAACATGAGAAGATTCAGCCCCCAAGATATTTGTTTTTTTAAATAAGAACTGTAACATTTATCATTTTGCTAATTTTATCAAACACTTAGAAAGCTTGTTCTTTTTAATGCCATCCACAGGTGTCATGCATTATTATTCTAGTCATTTCTTATCCCCAAGATAACTAAACGCCAGGGGTTAAAGCAAGACTGGCTGATCACCAATGATTTTCCACTACAGTAGTGGTTTTTTTGAAGTAATAAGCTGTTCCGCCTTAGAAAACACAAGCCCAATATATTCAGGAAGCATACGGTTATACGGTTTTTCATGCAGCTTGACTAATAGCTAATAAAAACTATTTTTTAAATCAAAAAAAGGCTGTTAAATTTTCTAGATCTCTTTCCTCTAAGAATAAAGAGAAGATTTTGAACCAACACACACACACCCAACAATGTTTCCTCTGGTTCTTTTAAAACAAAAAAATATTTTGCATAAACATTATGTCTGGTTGAACCCAAGAATTACAGGATTGCCTTATGTTATTTTTTAAGACAACTAGAATTGCTGCTGTCTTTCTTCCTACTAACACAAGCAATACATCGTGCAGTGTCCTGCTCCCACCCCCCTTCCTCTTTTGTAGCACTGCCTGGCAGGGGAAATGAACAGTGTAGTGATGTCACCTCATTATGTAGAGAGCAGCTGGCATCAGATATTACACACACCCAAAATGCAATACACAAAAAGTGGATGCAGATTCACCTCTGTAATTCTATCTGGCCCTTAGACAATGCATGTGGAGCTTCTGAAACGGGAAAGAGCATGCTTTAAATGTTGTTATTCTCATTCCCTTTCTGACAAAAGGAGAGGAGAGGGAAAGAGAGGGGAGGGGGAAGGAAAAGCAATCTGATGTAAAAGAGCAGCAGACAAAATGAAAGCTGGTGGATTATGAACTCTGGATTGTAAAGAACTTTTGCTGAGAGGTGAGTGCAATTGTAAGCCGGGTGTAGATGGTAAAAAAAAAACAAAAAACCAAATAGGTTATCGCTAGACAGCATAATGCATTATTTGCAAGTCCCTTGCTCACTCCAAAAGAAGACGCTTCCCAGAAAACAGGTCATTTAATTGATCATTTTCTGGAATATAAAATGCCTTCAATCCTTGTTGCCTTAGTAACCGTTGCGATGCAACAGACTTAAGATCCACATTTCAATACCAGAATTTAAGGACACTTGTGCACAGGTAAGAAGATAAGGGAATATGCCTCATCCCCTTCCTTGGGCTCTCAAATTATCTTGCAGTAATCTTGCTTGATACAGAATTACCTGCTCTTCCTCATCTCCCATCCATATTACAGAAGCAGCTAGAAATTGGATGTTTAATGCCAAAAGAAGGAATTAGATGGCAGAAACTTTGGATTGCACTATGGATACTAACTCTCCCTTGGAATACAGGAAAGGGGTAAATTATGTAAAAAAAGAAGGCTGAAATCTGGCATGCAGATGAACATTTATGTTTGTGTTTCAACTCATATACAGGCTGCATTTTCAAAAACTTGGGTGGTTATTCAAAGGTGTGATGAATATGCCACCAATATATTCTGCTATAAATAGAATCAATTTGATGACACATTAGCATTTCCCTAGTTTTACTAAGAAGCTGTCCAAATATTCTCAGGGGTCTCTAACCCAAGCTTCGGTGCTCATGACCCAAAGAAAAGCATCAAAGCACACTTCAGAGAGCCATGGCTCCTGCATACCTGGATGTCAAGTCTACCTCTCATAGGATGAGGATACAGTCATGCAGGTAACTTCTCTTTTGAGGATGCTGTTTAGCATTTTTTTGGAAAGATTAAGCAGGGCACCATCTAATTTGTTCACTCACATAGATGTGGTTCTGCTTGTAGCGCTGGTGCAGGTTGAGCAAGATGGCAGCCTCATGTAAGTCTCCCAGCATGGACATGTCCTCCACACCGTCTACACTTGACTGATGCATTGGCAGAATTTTTTCTTTTGGCAGAGAGCCTTGTGGATAGCAGAACACCTAGGGAAAGGGAAAGATTGCACTGAGAGATGCAACACTGCAAAATGACCATATGTCCTGGGTGACTCTCATCTGCTGAACTAGATGTGATAATAAAGAACCTGTATTAGATCTGGACATCAAGCCAGCTAGTAATCATATGTGTGCTTGCTACATGAATTTCTTATATTTCCACATCTTTTAAGTAAACCTTTCAGGATCATATGGTAGCCCTAAAACAAACTTAGCAATAGCAATAGCAGTTAGACTTATATACCGCTTCATAGGGCTTTCAGCCCTCTCTAAGTGGTTTACAGAGTCAGCATATTGCCCCCAACAACAATCCGGGTCCTCATTTTACCCACCTCGGAAGGATGGAAGGCTGAGTCAACCCTGAGCCGGTGAGATTTGAACAGCCGAACTGCAGAACTGCAGTCAGCTGAAGTAGCCTGCAGTACTGCATTTAACCACTGCGCCACCTCGGCTCTCAAAACTTCCAAGCAATCAAAATTAATAAAATCATTACAGCAATATTAAAAAAGAATCACATTCAGATTTAGAAGTCAGAAAGAATGAGGAATGCAAAGAGTGCACGACCATTAAAGACAAAAAACCTACAACACTAACTACTAAAAATCATCAGGGATGAAGAACGTACAATTTCTTTGGTACTAACTCCTTAAGCCAGATGCTGCTGCAGTTAAAATCCTGTCTCATATTCCTATCTTTTATAAGTGATGGAATAGGAAATGGAGCCTTTGACGTTGAACACTGATGCAAACTCTGCAAAAGAATCCTGCTAGTCCATTTTGTGTCAGTTGCAGTTTTCAAGAATAGCCCCATATGCAACATTTTACAACGATCTAATTTAATAACAACGAGCAAGAATTAATCTGGTTGATCCACTGTGAATACAGGGCACTTTCTTAGGTGCAGCAATACATGACTTTGTCTGCTACCCACACCTAGGCCACTGGAAAAGGCCCATTATTTTCTCCTATACACCAAAGGTATTTTTTTAACTTCTGCTAATTTAGTTCTCCTATTGTGCCCCACTTTCACTGGAACTGGCTATCATATACTTGGTAGAATCACTCTCTCTGTTCCAATCACTGGTTACTGTCTTCTGGCCATTTAAAAAAAAATTCACCAGTGAAACAATGGAAAGCTGGGGTTTTTTTTAAAGGTGAAATTGATAAATTTCTGCCACTTTTACTTTCTGGGCCTCAAGACAGGAAAATAGCCCTACTCCTTAGCCTTTACACTTATATACTGCTCCATACTACTTTACAGCACTGTACAGTATTTACAGTGATTTACAATGTCAACATATTATCCCCAACAATCTGGCTCCTCATTTTACCAACCTTGGAAGAATGGAAGGCTGATTCAACCTTGAGCTGGTCAGGATCAAACTCCTGGCAGTGGGCAGAGTTAGCCTACAATATTGCGCTATAATCACTGTGCTACCACAGCTCCTGGTAAAATAGTAAATTATAGGGTTTCTCTCTCTCTTTTTTTTTATCAGCTCATGAATGGTAAAGAAGTGGAGGATTTCAGCAATCAGGGGTCATGGCAAATGTAATCCAGACAAAACACTAGCCGGTCTGCATGATGGAAATAGAGGAAAGAGTTGAAATGTGGAAAGTGATTTTTAAACTGGCTTTCGTATCACTGGTTTACACACAGGGAGACAAGCAGCTGAAGAGTCCAAGTATTAAGATTTGGATCACTGCAGACTGCTCTGTTATGGGTTCACGTTTCAAACATGTAAATGTTGTAATGAATTGTCAGTTGCCACAGGGACAATATATTAAACTCCTGCATCTCCATCTTTTATTCCATACTAGTAATTGCTAATATATAAAGAACACACGTTGAAAGAATATCCATCTTTCTATTGCTCTTTTAGCAAGCCTCATTGAGATGCTGTAATGGCAGTTAGGTCACATTAAAAGATAACTGATCTGCATTAGGTCATCTTATCTATATATGCAGGGGGGGAATGCAGGCCTCCCTCCCTAATACACCAGAGAGATTCAGAAGGGCGGGGATTTGCCTAGAGAAAATGGAAGACGACCGATTCAAGGTATTAATACAGGATTATCTCCAATTTCAAACCTGGCCAGCAGCACAACTACTGATGTGTGAATTGCTTGGAAGCTTCAAGAGCCTGCCCCAGTCTGCTGAGGTGTGTTGCTGTCTTTTCTGAGAACTTGTGTGCCTTGTTTCAGGGTCAATGAGTTTTACAGCAATTCAGAAAAACCAATTTGCAAGCTAGAATGGGGAGCAAAGTCTTAAGAAAAATATGCCAGTTCAGGCAAGATGACATTAACTTAACACTTGGCCATCTTAGGTGGTACATATTAGGTATCAGTTGAGTCTCCGAATGTATTTTTTTTTAAAAAAATGTTCAAAAAGCAAGGGGATTATCCAAGAGTCTTTTCTTCAGTGGTTCATTACAGTCTTAAATTTCACTTACCTCCCCATAGTCTGAAGTGAAGAGCATGGAGCCATTAGCACAGGATCCAAGAGTGCAGGGCCGCATATAATCAGGTTCCTGCAGCCACACGCGTGTTCCCTGTAACCAATCACCGGAGAGTTCAACCATATAGTCTTTATCTGTTTATATTTGTACATCTGAGGGAGATGGGTGGTTAAGAAATATGACACATACATATGTCCTACTGTACGTACATACACACACACACACATTTAGTGATCACACTTGCTATTATTTCCTTTCTTTGCCGATCAACTACAAAAATATGTCATATCCAGAAACAATTTAAATGTGCATATTCAGCAGTAAAATGCATGAATAAAACATGTAGATGGTCACCACAAAGGGGCAGTCTTCTCTTCATCTTCCCAATAAGGTAGTATCTATACTATAAGAATTAGTATCAAGATAAACAATTATAGATGATTAATCCTTTCACTTTTGTCTTTTTTATTTAAACTTTTTTTCTTAGGAATATAGGGAAGATGGCTGGACTGACACCCAGGATGACATTCATTACAGTCCCTCTCAGAACACCACATATTGTACATGACAGTTAAACAGTGTTGCCTATCAGGGCTAAAATATATCCAATTTCTATAGTCTGCATGGATCCCCAACATATCCTGGAATGTTACATAAACTATTCAATCTGCCTGATGCAATTTAGACTGGGACAAATAGAAAAGGATCAACTTTTTTCATTCTTAAATTTCTTTTTAAGTAGTTACATTGCAAACACTGTGGATGGCAAAAAAAAATCACTTTGCCATTATTTCAATGCAGTAGTTAACGTTTTCCCATTCATCCCAGGCAAATATGGGACTTCGTCTCCCAGCCTTGCCCCACATTCAAAGGCCTTACTGAATTGTGCCAAAAGCTGTCACTAGGCTATTAGAATAAACCAAGCAAAAGCAGCCTTTGTGTAAACGTCACACCACCTTGGTATGTGGTATGGAATTGGGTTTAGACAATAATTTTCACTCCTTTTCAACACTCCAGGATTTAATTCTGCCCAGTTTTTGGTCATTTGTCTTAGACCCAGATGTGAGATTCCCAGGATCAAGTTTCAATCAATTTGGAAACTGTTTCCCATTTCCCTCTAACTCAGTTCACCAAGCCTTATCAGTTTAAAAATTCTACTTTATGCTACCTAACACAAGGGGAGTTGAAATATTGCTTTCAGTTCCTTAGAGGAAAGTATGATAGAAAAGCAATTAATTTTAACCGTTTTACATACAATCCTGATTCTTCTTACATACCTTACATCAGTGGTTCCCAAACTTGGCAACTTTAAGACTTGTGGACTTCAACTCCCAGAATTCTAGGAGTTGAAGTCCACAAGTCTTAAAGTTGCCAAGTTTGGGAACCACTGCCTTACATAGAGGTAAAGTACCATGAAAATTGGCAATGTTGTAGGGACTAGATTTTTTTTTTTTTTTTTTGCAATAATCATTTAAATTACTGCTGAACCCATCTCGGCACCCTCAACTTACAATAATTCCTCACACAAATAAAGGGTCTAACTTGTCTAGGATAAACATTCAAACTGGTCAACTGGAGGCGGACAAAAGGACAGAACAGCCAATTCATACTTAAAAGATACCACAGAGAGAAAAGGTCTGTTGTCATCTGAATAGGAAGAAACTGAGAGGAACTCGGGTACTTCTAAAAAGTGCCTGAAATAAACAGGCAAATGAAAAGCTGCAAGTCTTTGTTTCTATAAAAAGGGGCATGTACTGGAATCTCTTTCTTACTGCTGAGGAAAATAAATCTTTTTCAGTCAACCTATACCATGACTCTCTCTCTCTCTCTCTCTCTCTCTTTCTCTCTCTCTCTTTCTCTCTTTCTCTCTCTCTCTCTGTGTCTCTGTGTGTGTGCACGCATGTATATTGCTACTCTTTGGGGGAGGAGGCATATCTAGAGCCACAGTAGCTGTAAATGTTTATTTTACCCAAGGGCTAAACATAAACCACTTTTAAGAAAATGAATTGGGACAGTTGAATGCTTAGTAGTTTTAATAGTTTTGCAATAACAAGCCTGGAATTGAGAAGTGGCATTTGGGAAAAAGCTTTAGCAGCTTCTCCCTGCCACTATCCATTTTTTAACTCACAAGGACCCAGCTTTTGTTATCAGAAAAGCCTGATCTAATAGGAGGTTTTTGTGGAAATATTTCAAACAGAGGCTCAAGGCAGACCATTCCTTGCCCTCTGTGGTCCATATCAATGTTAAAATCATGGCTAGCTCTGTTCCATTGCTAAAAGAGATTTTGATAAGATTTCCCCCCAATTTCATGGGAAATCAACAGAGGAAAGATTGATAGCAAAAACTACAGCAGGGGAGAAGAGGGACTGGTTGAGAGTCAGGATACCACTAAGTAATCATAGCCATGGCCCCTGCCTGCTTTATGCCTCTGCATAGTGATTGATACTTGTCACCGAAGAGCTGCTGACAAGATGCAACAAAGGCAATTCCTATGAAGTCATCTCATGGTCTTGCTAAATGCTGAAGGATCACGGAATACTGACTCAGAACTAAAATGTAACTTTTGTTTGTTATGGCTTATCCCTGTCTTCTCTGAGTCCTTTGTGTACATGGAAAGTTTAAAAAAATCACTAGATAAAAGGATGGTGAACATTAGGTTTTTCCCAGTGAATGATAAACTATAGGACTTTTTGAAGTATGCCATCTTTGAACTAATCTTTCGATGGTGAAAAATTTATTAGCCATATCAGCCAGTATCAGGCATAGATTATATCAAGAACAACTTTGCATCCTACTTGATCAGTCTTAACTCTGCTGCTTTAGATAGTCATTTTTATGAGGTAAGTCCTCCTCCTCCTCCTCCTCCTCCTCCTCCCTTTCACTCTCTTGTATTATGTGCCCCCAAGTTATCAAGAATCAAGGCTACATTGCAAAATTTATAGTGATTCAGGTAACTTACTTATTGTGTAGCTTACTGTTGTTATTATAGTATTAGTTACATTAAGTAGCTAAAATATGGGAGGCGGTGAGAGAAGCCATAACTTACAGATAAGGGTTGAATCAAATTTCATCAAATGCATCTTTTGATTGATCCAGAGGACCATAAATAAGTAATATATACATCTAAACAGAAATTAGCTAATGGAAGCAGATGTGAGATGCAGCAGGTGGAAGAACATCTACTCAATCCACAAGAGAGAAGAGGTTATCTGATCTCAAGAAAGAGGCAGAATGGGGGAGGGGGAATCAATAATAGTTTTTATGAAAGGGGGATCAAATAGAACATGGGTATGGACTATCATTGATACTTCTTGAGCAATAATGTCCTTTTTTCTGCCAGAGGCTGATCTCACATTAACAACTATTTGCTTTCGGGTCAGTCTAGTTTAGTGAAAAGATGGACCAGGGGTGTTCCAATATCTAAGAGGTTGCCACAAAGGTTCAAACCGATTAATAACATAATCTAGTAGCTATGCAACTCTTATTCATTTGTTCTGCAGACAGTTTTCTATGAATTAGTGAGGTACAAGTATTATGTTTTATTAACAAAGTGGAAAGTGTTACTTTTTGAAAAAATTGTTCATGATCGTCTCAAGCACTTTCCCCAATTTTAGAGTTATAAATGAGTGTAGCAGATTAATTTATATTGCTCACTGGATAGTATTCAAACAAAATACTGTAATAAACTGCTGAGAATTCTAGCATGTTAGGAAGTACCAGACTTCTCAATTGTTTCTGCTTAGTTTTTCCATGTATAAGAGTGGCAGGAATTTAGAAGCCACAGGGTGTTTAGTTTTAAATTTAAACCTGGCTTCTGACTTAGTGCTTTTAAGAAGCCAGAGTCCAAAAGTCAGCTGCAAAAGCTGGTTTCTAATATTGACATTAAAAGAATAGGTGGAGGTCTTAGGCTAGATATATAAGCCTTTCTGGATATGGATTGTGGTTGCTTTCATTTCAGGGGGAATCAAGCAGATGCAGCTGGTCAGTATGTACCAGTAAGATTTGAAATACTAACAAACCAGCATTTTAAATAAATCTGGCCCACCATTTAAATAAAGATACTATCACTATCAGGGACTGCAGTGAGTTTGGGGATGAAATGTATTTGTTTTTAGAGAACAGTACTACAAATAATGCTTACAGTAAAGTTGGTACCAGATTTGTTTCTTGTTATAGAAGCAGGAACAGGTAATTCTTAAGAGGTTATAAATACATGATTAGGACAGAGCTTACCCATCACTGTGTTTGTGACTGTTATCACATTCACGGTTTTGTAAAAAAAAAAAAAAAAAGACATTAAAGAAATCAGCTTTTCCCACCCAAATGCTCCTAGTATACCAGTTAAGAGATGATAAGTGAGGCATCCAATCAATCTAATAATCAACAAAATTAATTTTTCTCTCTATGTACATGTATACATCCAAACTAGACGGTGTTGTTTCTCTGTGTCATATAATATATGTAGGTATATACATAATTTTGTATTTGTTTGTTTATTTATTTATTTTGTCATGTTTATATAATGTATATTGGAGATGGTGACCTTTTGAAAGCTGTATGCAATGAAATTTCATTTTAAAATATGCCAATTAGTGTACATTCAAAGTGACAATAAAGTTATTCTAAGTCTCAATCTAAGTCTAAGAGGAGAAGGGGAATTGATTTGTACTTTTACAGAGTGCCTTCTAAAGTTTGCATTCTTTTCTCATTGTTTTTCTTTTCTAAAATTCATATTTATTTTTAAAAAATCATATAACAAGCAAATCAAAAGAAAATGTACACATACATGAAAAGAAAAGAAAACCAAAACCAATAAATATGGAGAAATGATTTCTGACTTCCCTTTCAACTAATAATGACAATCTTGTTGTCTATCATCTCTCTTAAATATTTCCCAGATCTCCTCATCCCCTCCTTTAATTGATATCTTTTTAAATCTTTGAATCCATAAATCATTTCATTTCTTCTTCTTCTAACAAGAAATCCATTTACGATTTCCAGTGTTTCAAAACAACAATACCCCAACATTTTGCTATTCGTTTTCTCCATCAATCATGAATCTTTTCTAATTCATGGTCCTCCCATTTCCCCCACTGTAGACAATAAGCAGGCACTGGAACATTCCAAAGGTGG